TATTGTATATGTACATGTGATATGTATTTATATGTGTATGTCTGTGTATATATGTATATTGTGCGTTGCATGTGTGTATATTGTGCATGTGCATATTATGTGTATCGTGTGTGTATTACATGTGTGTATATTGTGTGTGTATAGTGTGTGTGTGTGTGTGTAGACAGCAATGGCAGCTGACAGAAACTCAGTACCTATCGTATAAAACACTTTCTGAAGGTTTGACTCTCAACGTCTCATCCATAGTAATTCTACTCCTGCTCTGCTGAGGTCGGTGAGGAAACAGAGGGATGCTATAAACCACGGCCAAGATCTGCTAAAACCAGGCTAGAACCAGGGCGTGAGAGCAGCGGGGGAACCGAGGAGGTATTTCAGTTGGTAAGATGTGCGCCGTGTACCATGAAGATCTGAGTGTGAACCCCAGAGCCCATGCAGAGAAGCTGGCATGACAGCATACACATGACAGCGTACACACAGTCCAGCTCTTGGGAGGTGGCGGTCAGCAGCTTCCTGGGGCTTGCTGCCCAGACGGCCAGACAGTGGACCTGTGGGTTACAGGCCACGAGAAATTGTTTCAAAAAGATTGCAAATGGACAACCCAGGGTGGATGGCTCCTGAAAGAACACAGGGGATGTTCTCTGGCCCCTATATGCATATACACATATGTGCATGTGCGTGCACACACACACACACATGCTAAAACCGGAAGTTAAAGTATCCTGACCTAGAACTTGCTTTTCTGACTTTGATGAGAGTTAAATTCTTTTATTTGTTGGTTTTGGTTTTTTGAGACAGGGTTTCTCTGTGTAGCCCTGGCTGTCCTGGAACTCACTCTGTAGACCAGGCTGGCCTCGAACTCAGAAATCCGCCTGCCTCTGCCTCCCAAGTGCTGGGATTAAAGGTGTGCGCCACTACTGCCCGAGAATTAAATTCTAAATGTCTAAATTCACCTTGGATTTCCCAGATGAGAGACGGCTCAGTTTCTCAGTCTGCTATCTGAGACAAATCACTGACCAAAAGGAACTTGGTGGGAGAGGCAGGGCGGAAGGTTGATGTGGCTTACAAGATACAGTCCTTCACTCGGGGAGGTCAGGGCAGGGACCTAGAGGGAAGAGTTGAAGTGAAACCCTGGGGGCGTACGCAGCCCAGACACACCTGCACAGGGATGGTGCACCCTATGGTGTGCACCATAACAATTAAAAAAACAAAAACAAAAACCTCCCCACAGATTGGCCCTCCCACCAACCTGATGGAGGCAATCCCTCAGCTGTTTCCTTCTTCTCAGGGGTCAAGCTGAGACCCTGAGCATTACACAGTGGGAATCGGAATCAGCCCTGGGGGTGGGGGTGGGGCACAGGCTCAGAGTATGGAGGGTGTGGTCACCCCTGAAGGTTCCAGATTTGGAGTGTGAACTCTGTGTCAGAAGACAGTGACAACACGGTCGGCAAGGGGTTATGTCACAGTCAGATGGCCTCTTACTTGCGTACCTCTTTCATACAGCCAGAAATCAAAGAAAATCCGGAGTTTAACAAGGAACAAGGAAGAGCCGCTCCATCTTTACAACGGCCTCTGGCGCCCTCTAGTGGTGAGAGAGTTAATGACATGGAATTAAAACACCCGGCTAATAAAACCTTAGGCACAGCTGAGATGGCAAGCTTTGCGTTCAGTGGGGACCACGACTTCAAGGTGAAGCGGCAAGCATAGGGAGTAGTGTGGCAGCCCCGGACTCTGCTAGGTTTGGGCTATGAACACACCTCTCTCCTGATGATGCATTTGCCAGCCTGGGACCCTGATCTGCATGTAGTATGCACACTCCCTCCACCTCTGAGCAATGGGGTATGTCTCTCCTCCTAACGGCCGTTAAACTTAGATTCTATTCAGTCACATTCCAGTTGTGTCTGGTATGAGAGTAGGGGACACCGCCCCCTCCTGCAGTGGCTTGGTGCACATGCAGTGAGGCAAACTGTATCCTTCAAGAGAATTTTAGAGAGAACCCCTATTAATTTCATAGGCACAGTCGGGCATGCATATGATTGAAATTAGATACATTATTTGGAGGAACATGAACAGCGAGCAAAGGTCTCCTCATCCAAATCCATCGCCACACCTGATAACCTGAGTTTCATTCCTGGGCCCCACATGGTAGAAGAGAACCAAGCCCACAAGTAGTTCTTTGGTTTACACACACACACACACACACACACACACACATATACAAACATGAAACCACACATATACACTCACACACGTACACACACAAATATACACTCACACACAAGCATACACACACACATGCACACATACACAAACATGCAAACACATATACACACATACAGATTCACACACAAACATGCAAATACACATATTCACTCACATGTATACACACATAAATATACAGACACTCACACACATATACACACAAGCATGCAAACACACACATATACACACATGCACACATATACAAACATGCAAACACACCCACGTACACACACAAACATGCAAATACATACACACACAGATTCACACACAAACATGCAAACACATACATGCACACACATACAAACATGCAAGCACACATATACACTCACATGTGTACATACACAAATATACAAACATTCACACACACACACACGAGAATGCAAACACACATACACACACAAACATGCAAACAAATATATACTCACACAGATTCGCACACAAACATGCAAACACACACACAGAGCAAACAGTTTAAAGCAAAGAACTATGCTATTTCTAAAAATTAAACTTCTTTCAGTAAAAGCAGCTGAAGCAATAACCTGGGCCTGAGTGCCCCCATTCCCATGGCCTGCTGTCAATCGCTCTTTCTCTATGTAGTCTAGGCTAGCCTGGAACTCACTCTTAGACCAGGCTGGCCTTGACCTCATACAGATCCACCTGCTCCTGCCTCTCAAGTGTCCGGTTAAGAGCATGCTCCACTGTGCCTGGCTTAACATTCTTCACAGTATATTTTCCTTCTGAGCTGTCTAGCTCTTTTTTTTTTTTTTTTGAATAAAGTTTATGTTTTCTTTCACGAATGTATTTTGGCCTTTATTTCAGTTCCTTGAATAACAGCCCAAACCTCCAGAAACATCTTGCCCAGACCCAATTACAAATAGCAAAGACAGTGAGGTGTGGAGTCGCAGAGGAAGACTATAGCTTTTATAGATGCACACACCGGGTGGGGGTGAGGGTAGAGTGAGGGGCACGGAGGAGCGAATGCCATAGTTCAGTCATAAGAAAAAAAAATCATTTAAAAATGGGCGAAAGACCTGAACAGACGTTATTCGTTATAAAGGAAAATAGAAAACTGGCCACTCAACTCAAAGTGCTCAAGGCCATTATTGGCTGTCGGGGGAAATGCAACGGAAAACCCCAAAGGATTCCACCAGAGGAGATCAGGTGAAGACCAGTGCCACCAAATCCCATGTGCGTCGCTGGCAGGAGAGGACGTCTGGCAGTTTCTAATGAAGTCAGCCATATCTCGAGCCTTTGATCAACGCTTCCCCCCCTGAGTGTTTACATAAGAGCAATGTAAACCCAGGTCCACAAAAGGCCGGGACACCAAGTTCAGCCCGTGCACGGCTTCATTCAGAATGGCCTGGAACTGGAAGCAGTCCAAAGACCCATCAACCGAAGAATGGATGTAGCCCATCCGCACCGAAGACCGAACATGGCGACAAAAGCGGAGTAAAGGGTTCGAGAGAGCGTGGAAGACCCTCCCGGACATTGTGAAAGCATCTAGCTACAAAAGAGCGTGCAACCGTGCGACTGCATTTGTGTGACTGTCTGGGGGCGAGCAGAGCTAATCTACAGCGGACACTCGGAACAATTGTCGCCTGGTGGGGGCTGCCGGGGGAAGGACATCTGCGCAGCAATGGAAACTTTCTGTGCTCGATAGAGCTGTGAATGAGCGAGCCTCGGGCAGACGCTAGTCAGTCGCTAACACTGTGGCTCTCAACCTGGGTGTGCTTGATCGATTCTTATGAGACAGAGCCATAAAAACGAGGGAACTGGGGGGATAGGGACAGATGGAGGCACACACAGAAACTCAGTGGGAAGCGGGGCTGGGGCAGGATGCTATCCTGTATGCATAATTTTTTTAAAAAGTT